ACATTGACCCCAAGAGACATTATGCTGGTTCAACACCATAAACCTAAAACGTACAAGCTGTGACTGGAGGGGGGTTGGAGAATTTCTCCAAATCAGGTCTGATTCCCTTAACCCCTTAAGGACACATAACATGTGTGACATGTCATGATTCCCTTTTATTCCAGAAGTTTGGTCCTTAAGGGGTTAAATTGGCAATTACCATTTAAATGTCCTACAATTCAGTGTATAGTGGGTAACATAGAAACATAGAATGTGACGGCTTATAAGAACCATTCGGCCCATCCAGTCTGCCCAATGTTCAAAATACTTTCATTAGTCCCTGGCCTCATCTTATAGTTAGGATAGCCTTATGCCTATCCCACGCATGCTTAAACTGCTTCACTGTGTTATCCTCTACCACTTCAGCTGGAAGGCCATTCCATGTATCCACTCAGTCTAGTCTTTCCTCCAAATTATACATGTTAAGATCATTTAACCTTTCCTTGTAAGTTTTATCCCACAATCCATGAACCAGTTTAGTAGCCCTTCTCTGAACTTTTTTCCAAAGTATCAATATCCTTCTGGAGATACGGTCGCCAGTACTGTGTACAATACTCCAAGTGAGGTCTCACCAGTATTCTGTAAAATGGCTTGAACACTTCACTCTTTCTACTGCTAATACATTTCCCTATACAACTAAGCATTCTGCTAGCATTTCCTGCTACTTTTAAGTCATCAGAAATAATCACCCCTAAATCCCTTTCATCAGATGTTGAGGTTAGGACTCTATCAAATATTCTGTACTCTGCCCCTGGGTTTTTATGTCCAAGATGCATTATCTTGCACTTATCCACATTAAATGTCAGTTGCCACAACTCTGACCATTTTTCTAGTTTACCTAAATCATTTGCCATTTAGCTTATGCCTCCCGGAACATCAACCTTGTTACATATTTTTGTATCATCAGCAAAAAGACATAACTTACCATCAAGACCTTCTGCAATATCACTAATGAAAATATTAAAGAGAATGGGTCCAAATACAGATCCCTGTGGTACTCCGCTGGTAACAAGACCATGCTTTGAATATATTCCATTAACTACAACCCTCTGTTGCCTGTCACTCAGCCACTGCCTTACCCATTCAGCAATATTGGAATCCAAACTTAAAGATTGCAGTTTATTGATAAGCCTTCTATGTGCGACAGTGTCAAAGCCTTACTAAAATCTAGGTAAGCAATGTCTACTGCACCACCCTATCAAAAAATCAATACGATTAGTTTGGCATGATCTCCCTGAAGTAAACCCATGTTGTCTCTGATCTTGAAATCCCTGTGATTTTAGATGTCCAACAATCCTATCCTTTAACATGGTTTCCATCACTTTCCCCACTACTGAAGTAAGGCTTACTGGCCTATAATTGCCTGACTCCTTCCTACTACCTTTCTTGTGAATGGGCACAACATTCACTAATTTCCAATCTTCTGGGACTACTCCCATTAACAATGATTGGTTAAATAAATCTGTTAATGGTTTTGCTAGTACACCACTAATCCCTTTATTAACTTTGGGTATATTCCATCAGGCCCCATCAACTGATTTGTCTTTACTTTTGAGAGTTGAAATATAACCTCTTCCTCTGCAAACTCACATGTAACAAATGACTCATTTATCATTTTTTTAAAAAATATTCATATATATTTTTATATTCTTTATTTTGGTTGTGCGTAAGATTACATACAGGCTCGCAACGCCACAACAGCAGAAGCAAGCAAAAATGCTAACTTTTTTTAAAACTATTTTGGCCACTTCTGCGGAATACCACAGTGGTTTCTAACCTAATGCAATTTTCTGTTGCCTTCAGTAGTGCAACTTTTAAATAATCCCATTTCTCTTGGACTCCATTTAAATTGCTCCAGTCTGATAATGACTGCCCGTAATTTGAATCGTACATTACACATATATATGCACTGTAAACTGTAGCTTGGATCGATAGTCAACGTAAAATCTTCTTAAAGGACCACTCTAGGCACCCAAACCACTTCAGCTTAATGAAGTGGTCTGGGTGCCAGGTCCTTCTAGGGTTAACCCATTTTTTTTATAAACATAGCAGTTTCAGAGAAACTGCTATGTTTATGAATGGGTTAAGCCTTCCCCCAAAGCCTCTAGTGGCTGTCTCATTGACAGCCACTAGAGGCGCTTGCGTGCTTCTCACTGTGATTTTCACAGTGAGAGCACGCCAGCGTCCATAGAAAAGCATTGTAAATGCTTTCCTATGAGACCGGCTGAATGCGCGCGCAGCTCTTGCCGCGCGTGCGCATTCAGCCCGGGGCACGGAGGAGGAGAGAAGGAGAGAGCTCCCCGCCCAGCGCTGGAAAAAGGTAAGTTTTTACCCCTTTCCCCTTTCCAGAGCCGGGCGGGAGGGGGTCCCTGAGGGTGGGGGCACCCTCAGGGCACTATAGTGCCAGGAAAACGAGTATGTTTTCCTGGCACTATAGTGGTCCTTTAATTTCTTCTTCTCTTCAGTTGATTGATATATACGTCTTTTGTATATATATATAGTCTTGGGCCAAATTTGCTCGCAAACATTAATATAGTCTATATTAATGAAAAGTACTAATACGCAATCTGACTTACGGTTTCTTTAGGTTTATTCTTAGTTACTGATACATAATAAAACAACAAAGGATATTACAGGATAATGGACATTCAACAGCAGATGGTAATTGCTGGACATCTGATAGGAGAGTTACACTTTTACAGGAAAGAGAGCCACGAGCCAAGAGACCTCATCTCAGTTACTATATAGATATGACCATAATGACGTCAGACTATAACTCTAGCCATATAAGAAAAAAACCCCCAACTTACATTCCAGAGCTCTCGGACAAAGAAAGCCTTGTGACTTATACAATCTGTTACTTATGTCAATCCACACATCCATATATAATCAATAGAAACGATCTCTAGCATGTAAGCTCATCGAGCAGGGCCCTCAACCACCTCTGTTCCTGTACGTCCAGTGGTCAAATCTCAATTATGTGTCTGTTAGTCCACCCATTGTACAGCGCTATGGAATTTGTTGGCGCTATATAAATAATAATAAACATAGAATATGCAATATTCTACATGCACTCACACACTACTTACCTTTTTTCCAGCCCCACAAGGTCTCCTTGTGGCTGGCCCCGCCCCCTCCTTGGCGGAGATTGTCAAATTCGATGATCTTGGCAAATCCGGAAGCTATTGCACGTGCGGCAAAACGCTGTGCCAATGGGCATCTCCTCAAAGAGATGCATTGCTGCAGACATGTCAGAGTGCCCATGATGATCCCAGTCTACCACCAAAAGAGCCTTCAATGAGGATTTGAGTGTCAGAACTGGACCATGGAAGGAAGCTGCCTGGTCTGATTAATCACATTTTCTTTTAGGTCAGGTGGATGGCCAATTGCATGTGCTTAGTTTACCTGGGGAAAAGATGGCAGCAGGATGCTTTATGGGAAGAAGGAAGACCAGCAAAGACAGTGTTATGTTCTGGGCAATGTTCTGCTGGGAAACCATGGTTAGACAGGTGGACCCTCCATAGACATATAGACATCAGCATTGTATCTCGCGCATGTGAGTACAGCACCGACATGGGCTTCTGGCAGATTAAGCTCCAGGAGCTGAAGAGGGTTCCCCAAATGGAGATGCCAGCAGCCATGAGGAAAAGCTTCAGGGAAGTAAAACGTACCTTCACCTTGCACCCCTGAATGACCTCACAGCGCCTATATATACACATATATATATAGCGACTGAAGGAAAGACGAATCGGGGGGATATAATAGAAACATTTAAATACATAAAGGGAATTAACACAGTAAAGGAGGAGACTATATTTAAAAGAAGAAAAACTACCACAACAAGAGGAAAGTCTTAATTTAGAGGGGCAAAAGGTTTAAAAATAATATCAGGTAGTATTACTTTACTGAGATGGTAGTGGATGCATGGAATAGCCTTCTAGCTTAAGTGGTAGAGGATAACACAGTAAAGGAGTTTAAGCATGCGTGGGATAGGCATAAGGCTATCCTAACTATAAGATAAGGCCAGGGACTAATGAAAGTATTTAGAAAATTGGGCAGACTAGATGGAGCGAATGGTTCTTATCTGCCGTTACATTCTAAGTTTATATATATTAAAAAAATTGTATTTGTAATGAAGGAAAAGAACTCAAAATAGATTCACGTATCAGTACTGATTGTTAAATGCATCATACGTGCAATATCTAAATACATTTTTGGTAGTTAACGTTATCCCCAATATCAACACCCCCCTCAATCCTACCCCTATGCTTACACTAACCAAACACTTACCCTAACCCTATCCCAAACCCTAAAACAACCTTAACCCAAAGCCTACACCAAAACATATTCTCTCTGCTAATATCAGTACTAAAAATCAGCAGAGGGATTTGCAAGATAAAACTGTGGAAATCGCCCTCTCATGCTGCTGTCTCTGACGATTACACTGTAGTTAGCAAAGGCTGTTACCGCGGCTGTCAGTCGGCAGAAGGGGTATAACATGGACAGCATTCCGCAAAAGAATCACTGCGGCTAAGTGTAATCGCTCAGCTGTGAGGATTCAAATAAATTTAAAGGGCTGTATGCAACACACACACTTTGAGTGCTGCATACAGCTCATTGTGAGTTTATGACCACTCTATATGGCCTAGCTGACATAGGGGAGCCCTAGGTATTGATTGTTACCTGAGTATCCCTGGTTTGAGCAGAGATTTAATCAAGCTCACACCAGAATTAATTACTTGCCGTCACATCCTAACCTTGTTAAAGCCTAGGCTTTGCGGATACAATGACACATCCTAACATCGTTAAAGAATTAAAATAAAAACACAACTTCCACTGCATATGAACAATGCAAATTGACAAATCCAGTAGTGAATGATCATAGTTAATAAAAATGCAAACTTTTCAGTACAAATTAGAGAATTTCTACACATATTAAAAATAAAATCAGTACATACATGTTTATTTTTTTAAATTTTTATTTAAATATTTTTATTCCTGGATTTATGCAGGTAAATGTCCCATTCCATGATCATATCCTATACAGAAAATTTCCATTGCTGTCAAAAAACTCTCTTCCTTGTTGTACAACTTGCATTTGGTTTTTAATGCCACTTTCAGCCAACTCTTCAAGTTCATGGTCACTTAACACTTCACCATCCCATTCTTCATCAAGGTTTTCCTGCTCCTCATCAAAAACATTCACCAGGTCTGACTGTGGATTGTCAGCAATTGTCGCAGTCATGTAGGACATTGCAGGGGTCATGCCAGGCCGATTTATTTGTGATTGTTGTGTACTGAGCTGGAAATTTTCCTTTCTTACATGTCCAATTTTGCCCTCTCCCCTCAAAGCTATTGCTGAAGACGGTGATGTTTCTGAGGGAGGAATAACATGATGTTTTGGGGTCCTAATTTGCTTGCTGCGGAGTCCTGATGACAAAAGTTGTACTGCCGAATCTTTTGCAGCTGGAGCCAGATGTAACACGTCCTTTCTGGATTCCTTAGGGACACTTTGCCCTAATAGTTTAGCTACTTTAACATCTTGTTTTAATTTTCGTTTTTCAGGTGGAGAAAAATTTGATCTCAGAACCCTCCGGATAACATCTACACTGACATTAAACCCTTCCGCCAAACGAGGCACTGTCCATTCCTCTGGAAAATTCTGCTTTAAATACCTGAAGGAGGAAAATAAAGAGAAAACAATCACCAAACACACACTATGATGTTATTAAATATATCAGAAAGCTTTCACAAAATACAGCAGGCCGCTTACAGATTACAGGTATTGTCAATATTATTAAACATTTTTAATGTGACAAAGCTTTGCTCGCAAGTGTGAGCTTCTGCCCCATAGGGGCATTTTATTATTATTATACATTTACACATACATACACCACACATTTTCTTCTTAAAACCCCTAATATGACAGAAATTCAATGAAATACCATTGCAATTCTAAATGTATACCTAACACAAAATGTAAACAAAAATAAAATCTGTTTACAGTTTTGCTTATAATATTTTTTTTACTACTCAAATCCAGCTAAAGAAGAAGAACTCAAAAAAAGATTCTAATTGTTAAGTGCCACATGTCTAGGATCTAAATAAATTTTTGGTAGTTAACACTAACTCTAGAGTAACCTTACTACGAACCACACACCAACCCTAACCCCAACTCTATTTTTACACTAAATCCAAAAACAGCATTAACCCTAACTCAGTGAAGGAATATCTCCCTCTCATGCTGCAGCTTCGGCATGCCAATCACACAAAGATTGATGCTGGGCAGTTGGCAGCGCTGATCACCATCAGTAAATGGGAATGCAGGGAGACCCTGTTCCTGTCAAAGCATGGGGGTCGCCTTCAGATTGGGGGCACCATCACTCAGTCACGCTAATTAAAATGAATTTGAAGGGTTGTGTGCAGTTCTCAGTTTGAGTGCTGCATAAAACTTACTTATTACTCTGGGGTTACTAAATAAGGCCCAAGATGACAAACAAGAGTCGCAGGTATACTGGAGTCTTCCTGGTCTGAGCAGAGATTTAACCCTACTCACAACAGAAGTACAGGACGTTTCATGCTGTCCTAACGTTGTTTAAGCATACTCTGTGGAGGATGGCATGGATCATCCTAATGGCGTTAAGGGATTCATTGAAATCCCCTTTTCAATGTGTGCAAAGTACATGGTGGCATCTGCATGTGTGTATGCACTTGGGAACCACTGATTTTGCAAGTTTTTGTTTTTTTACCGGATTTGTTGTATTGCATTCCAAGACAGGATCCTCTCTGGTGGGCCACGAGGTTCAAACTCTCTTTTAATTTTTTGGAACTTTATAGCCTTCTGCTGTCTTTTTAGTGCTCTGGGAAAGAAAAAGTAACAAGTTCATGGATGCATACAGACTCAAGACAAGAAAACACACATGCATATTTTCTTTTTAATCTATTGCTGAGGATTCTAAAAATGAAAGAAAGCCAAACAATCCAGGCTTAATAGTAATTGGTAAGCACACAATAGTACCATAACCACTATAACCACTTTGTATGGAGACAGTAGATCTGGCGACTAACCAAACTTTAAAATCAATTTATTTTTCTTCTGGATTCGCCTTGCGCTGTTCCCCACCTCCAGTACCAGAGATACTGCATTGCAGTGATTAGCTCAGGGGAGCTAACAATTTCTTAGAAACTTGTGGTTCTTGTTAAAGCAGCATTGTTACTTTATAATTTATTATTTTATAAATATCTATTTTTTTTTTCTTTGAAATTCCAGCAAGGTAGGGACTACTTTGCCTCATGTAGGGAACTAATTTTACCACATACTGATATTTCCCATCGGTTATCACTGATGACAGCTGATGGGAATATGCATCCTACCACGTGATTCACTATAGGTGCCTATAACACGTTCTTGCGCTTGCATCATTAAAGCCATGGAAGATCCATAAACCTGTCTTGCGGTATCTTCAATAGACTCTAATTTTGTATTCTTTAGGATGCGCAAAACCACACAACTGAGTTATCTCCTGCACAGTAAAACTACCAGAGACAAGATAGTGGCAGCATTTAGTTGAAAGTACATCAGGTAAGTATAATTTCTTAACACCATGACAACAACTATAATGCTCGGTTTTCAAAAGGTTTAAAAAACAGAGCCGTGGTCCCAGACAAATGCAGTGTTATCCCTCTTCACGGTATCGATTAAGCATAAGTATCCCTTCTGCATTAGCATTATAATTTCCGTACATGCCTGGATGGCATTTGTTGGATGGGAATGTTGGCCACATGTTTCCGCCACTTAATTCCATGCAAATAAGAAAAAAAAAATGCATATATGTAATGTAGAAGGAGAATTTCTGCTTTAGCAATACCTGTGAAGATGGGGTACAGTCTGGACTGATGGGACCCTGCGACATTTGTAAATGGAGTGACTCTTAACAGTGTGATGGCACCACACATTCCTGGCATCACAAGTAGTGGTTATGGTACTCAGAGTGCCGCTTTAACTACTCCACGGTCAGGGCACCACCAGGGTGTCTTCATTACACAGTCAGGGTTATATAATAAACTCCAAATTGTAGTGAATAGTGAACTGAAATCTGAAAAGCAAACATAGCTCATATGGACATGTTCTAATAGCTTGGCTGTTTTCTCTTGACTTTTGCAATGCGCAGTTTGATGAATAGCCCTGGCTGTCAGTTAAAGGACCAGGGGCCATGCCCAGGAAGTGGTTATGGTACCTCTTTATGTCCTCTATGTCATCCTCCTCGGACTGGAAGCCGGTCTCGGTAGAATGGTCATCCCCTGGGAGTGAGGAGTAACACGGTCCGCTGCCAGTCACTAAGCGGCCGGTCAGAGCGGACACGGAATGGGTTATGAGAGCCCGCAGCCGCCATACAGGCGTGAGACCAGCGGCAGCCATCAGATCGCACTTTCTGCAGCTCGATTGATCTTGTCTGGAGCGTTCCTCACACGTGCTCCGGGTTCTCTGCGATCGATTACTATCCCTGTGTTACAGACCTCTCTGTATTCATAAAGTATGTCTCTATTGAAGGAGAATAATAAACAGCTAATCACACAGGGTCAGTCACCAAGTGTGGAAAGTGAGAAGAGTTTATTTATTCTAAGCAGGATTAACCATGACATGCCTCTCAAGTGTCCCTATTTAGGGAGTGCAGTCAATATTGGGGCCAACCCCCCTGTCCCTCTCAGTCTGTCCTAATGCCCTCTTTTGTAGGAGCTCCATATTGTTGGTGTGTCCGAATGTATGGCAGAGCTCAGCAGCAATCATACTGTAATGTGTCTTTAAATGACAATAAATGTGTTCAGAATTCATATGTAATGAATGTTTTAGTTGCATACCTGATTAGTAAGTCACCTAAATTTCTCATAACAGGCCGCACCTCACCACACCTATAAAATTAAAGTGTACTTCTTTGTCCATTTGAAATGTTGGGGGTATGTAAATATAAGGTGACCAGAGGCAGTTGCCCAGGGATTAGACGGGGCGCTGGTACTATGAATTTGCTTGGTCCCATTAATTATCACTATGTGAAGAATGATAGGGGTTGAGACCCAAACGGATAAGCTGCCTAGGACCACATGGGATCTTAATCCTTCTCTGTATCTGTTTCTAGTCTAGCCTTTGCTACCTTGTGTAGCTAGCAGTGGTCGTGTTGAACTCCAGCAGGTTAGTTTATGTGTAATGGAAAGGAAACTAAATAAAGAAACTGGCCAAATAAACGCACAGAGACACTTGGGTTTTGAGGGACTTCTTAACCCCTTAAGGACTGAGCCAAATGTACACGTTGTGATCAAAACAAAACGTAAACAAAAACTTTAATTTGCGCTATATGTCTGTTCAGGCGTAATTCGCATCTTTCATTTTATGTGCACCTACACTTATTATATATCATTTTATTCAGGGGAAACAGGGCTTTCATTTAACATCAAATATTTAGGTATAAAACATAATTTAATATGAATAAAATATAAAAAAATGGGAGAAAATTAGGGGGCGGGGCCTAACCACTGAATGAGCCAGACGCAGGTTAAGAGAGCTCCTCAATCTTGCTAAACTTATATGCCTCAAATAGGGTGATATTCCTCTCAATCAGAGCCCATGTCGGCACCCATTGAACCGAGAACACAGGGACCACTCTTGGAGAGAAAACCCGACATTTGTAAGCACCATACAGGCGCTAAAGCTTCCTGCGGCCTACTTCACGATTTTGGGCCGGAGACGCGGCCGATCTCCTGCCTATCAAGCAAGCAGAAGTGGTTGGGCTCCTGCTTCCCCCCCCCCCTCTGGACCAGCGGGGGTTATCCCGGTCCCTGCTGAGCTAAACACCAGGGCCAACCGAGCCACAGACGCCTACCCAGCGGCACTAAATACAGTGGTGTGCGGCGGCTTACAAAATGGCGGACGCATGTAACCCAGCACCACGAGACAAAGTACTTCATGAAGCTGATCGGATCCACAGTAGCGTGGACAAACTGGAGGAGATATTCAATCGATTCTGGGCTACCCTGGAGGAACAGACGAGGCTGGAGACAGCTAGTCGCGTCCCATTGACAGGGGAATGGAAGCTGCGTGGGGTGAGGCCTGCGGAGCACTCCATGGGAGACTCGACACGCAAGATAGCAGTTAACGCTGCATTACGCCTACCTGGGCCTGGAGCCACCCGGGGTCCAACCCCCAGGCACCAACCACGCCGGCGGAGAAGACGGAAATCACCACGCAAAGCTGACAGGATCTTCCGCATTTCCCAGGATGGGAAGAGGCTGGACTCAATTAAATATTGAGTTTGCGGCACAGAGGTGCTGGCTCCGCGATCTACCTGGGGCCAAGGAGGTTCCCTACCAGAGTCCTCTCCCATCACCCACGCATGGGCTCACCCTGGACTGCACATGCCTGAAGGACAGGAGCCCAGCCGGGGGATCGGCTGAACAGCACTTACGCGGACCAGGCTTGTTGAGAACGCTGCAGATATAAACCCCCCCAGCACAGCCTTCACCTATCTAGCATAGCTCACGGTTCATTCTGTTATGTGCAGGACGTTACATATGCCACTGCCCCACTTGCATCACCAAATTGGGTCCTTTAAGCCTTAAACAGATTACATGTGGCAACCTGGGCAAGCCAGGAAATCTTGCACCCATAAAGTGAAGTTGTTGTGGTTTGATACCCATACTTACCTGCAATACACCCAGTAAGTACATATTAATGCCTACTGTTATATTATGCCCTAAATAGCTTTCCTGGTACTCTCAGCATCTATTTACTGTCTAGAGGTTTTTACTATGTTACAAGACTGCATTACAAGCCCGATCTAGATATGTTTCTTTAGCATCTCTACTAGCCTGTCACTCTAACTAAAAAATGTGTGCATGTTCTCTCCAACCGCCTTATCACCTGTAAGATATGCTTTTTGTTATTCTTGTCATGGCTGTCGTGGCATGACTAGACTGCTTGTATACACTGCACAACAAAAATAAAGATTTTTTTTTAAAAATGGGAGAAAATAAGAATTTTTAAAAAATGTTTAGTTCTACGTGACATTTTAACTGTGAATGCCATAATACTGTTTTACTTTACTGCAATAAAATACACATATTTGTATTCAGTGATGTCTCACGTGTAAAACAATACCCCCTATGTACATGTTTTATGGTGTTTTGGGAAGTTACAGGGTCAAATATAGCATGTTACATTTTTCATTTTTTTCACATTGAAATTCGCCAGATTGGTTACGTTGCCTTTGAGACCGTATGGTAGCCCAGGAATGAGATTTACCCCCATGATGGCATACCATTTACAAAAGTAGACAACCCAAGGTATTGCAAATGGGGTATGCCCAGTCTTTTTTAGTAGCCACTTGGTCACAAACACTGGCCTTATATTTGACTCTCTACCTTTTGAAAACACCATAAAACCTGTACATGAGGGGTACTGTTATACTCGGGAGACTTCGCTGAACACAAATATTAGTGTTTCAAAACGGTAAAACGTATCACAACAATTATATTGTCCGTGTAAGTGCCATTTGGGTGTGAAAAATTTCACTGACAATATCGTCGTTGTAATACATGTTACTGTTTTGAAACACTAATATTTGTGTTCAGCGAAGTCTTCCGAGTAAAACAGTATCCCCCATGTACAGGTTTTATGGTATCTTGGAAAGTTACAGAGTTAAATATAGTGCTAGCAAATTAAATTCCCTGGACTTATTAATATTAAAATACACGTAGACAGTGTATGTGTATTTATGTGTATGTGTGTATATGTGTATATATATATATATATATATATATACTTAGATCATATATATAATAAATATATATATATATGATCTAAGTATATATAATGTTATTTTACACTGTTTTAACATTTAATTATTTTATTTTCAGACAGCAGGGGGAGTACCTGTCATTACAGGCACTCCCCCTGCTGGCAAAGCCTTGGACGGCTATGCCGTCCATGTGATCATGAGGTCCTTACATGGACCTCGCAATCACATGGACCAGGAGGGCCGAAGAGAAAGCAGGGGGACTCCCTGGGCTCCCAGGTGAGTCCCCACACCGCGATCGCCGGCGTGGGATCACCGGCGACCGGGTAAGTACAAAGGACGGTTTGGATGTTCTATGCCGCCTTGCGGCGTTTAGAGCCGCTTCCTTAAGGACGGCATAGAACATCCGCCGTCCTTAATGGGTTAACGTATTGAAGACTAGGGGAGAGTCTGACAGGGGTAGGCAGGCTGTTCCAAAGGAAATGAGCCGCCCATGAGAAGCCTTGCAGGCATGAATAAAGTTTATTATAATAAACACTAACTTTATTCAGAACAAATGCAACAAAGATTAACCCAGCATTGAACACTCAGCCTAACCACCCAAGGTGGAATTCAAGGCCAATCACCGGAGCGAATTGGGAGTGGGAGCAGGACTGCTGCCCTGAGGGGTTGCCATAGCAACCAAATGGATACAGTTGGAGCAGGGAATTCTAGAAAAAATTACCAGACTACTGGTGAACAATGCTGAGGGAGCCTGGCAGGATTTAATGATCGAAGGAGTCAGCAGTCGTGTTAGGCAGGAGTGAAAAAATGTGTTTTGCCTTTTCTTTATATGCATAACAATACTATTGCACAGACATGGCTTACTTGCTATTCTTGAGTAATCAAGTTTGAAATGGGCATGTAATATATTTGGCCCTGCGA